TCCTCGGGCTTCCACCAGCCGCGGGTACCTCCCAGATGCCTGATGGCTCCCAGGATGTTGACCCTCCCCAGGGGTCCCCTACTGCTGCTCCAAGGCAGGGACAGCAGAACCGGGGGGTGCATGGAGACTTGCTGGGAGCTGAGCTAGTGACTCAGGAGAGGGGAAAGCACCCACGGCAGCACACAGCTATGGCACTTCTGCAGGGGTGTACATCAGCGTGAGGTGGGTCAACGATGGGCCCACCCTCCCAGGCAATGTTTCTCTTCCGTCTTTCATCTGCTGAGCCCCACTTGGGTGCTTTGCAGATAAGGAAAAAAAAAAAAAAAGTTCTTCTAGGGTCTTGCATTGCTTTGTGTCTCCAGGATTCCTTTTCTGGGGTAACATGTTCCTGAAGGATTACACTGCTGAAAGAGTAGAGATGCTAATGGCTTTTTTTCCACACCTATCAGTGAAACCACAGCCAGCCAACAGGAAGGCACTCTGTGTGACATCCTTTTCTACGTAAAGAAGTACCTTCTGCAAATTCAGAAGTGTGTCCTAAGCTTTTACAATGAAGTAGAAAATGTAGGTAAGTTCTGTCCTGCTTCAAAATACATCACTCAGTAAATGTGTAAGCCATATGAACCTGACTTTGATCAAACGACTATAAACGTAGACATATTTTGGAAGGCAGCTTGTGGCATAGGTGTGTGCAGATAACGTGCTTGTTAAATTATGAGAGAACGGAGACGCGGACACAGTTGATATTTTCCAAGAGGAATCCCCAAAGAGCCTTTTTGCAAGTGCAATTCTGATCTAGGCCAGTGAGCAACAAAGAGGAAAAGGTGACCATTTTTTTCAGCCATTTCTCCTACTTAACATTAGAGTTAGGTGAGAAAGCAGTGAAGATACAGTGTAAAGGACAAGGTGTTTTTGATAGCTGTCATATATCAATATTACAGAAAAATGTGGAAATTCACATTTTTCATGTGGAATGGACGACTTTTAGAAGCAAAAACCTCACCAAAGGAAGAAGACGTGGAAATTCACATTTTTCATGTGGAATGGACAACTTTTGGAAGCAAAAACCTCACCAAAGGAAGAAGATGCAGTTATACTTTCACCTTTTGATCAGTGCATTGATAGTTTGATTTTATTCACATAAATATTCAACAAGTATTTTCTCACTTTCATAGGGAAAGTAAGGTGCAAGGAAGTTAACCGAATAGTCTGTGCTCAAAAATGTTTTTGGATGAGCTGGTATCAAAACTTAACTTCTCTTAAACTTGCTGACAACTTAATTCCTAACAAATCAAACACCCTGAAAGAGAAAGGTGCTGTTCCCCTAAGAAACTAGTCACTGTAAAGCAGCTCCATGTGTTCTCAGAGAGTCATCCTTCACCCCTTGGAGAGAAGGGTTCCATAGTTCCTTCCTACTGTTATCCCTGGAGGTATTTAAAAGACATGTGGACATGGCATTTAGGGACATGGTTTAATGGCGGACTTGGCAGTGCTAGGTTTACAGTTGGACTCGATGATCTTAAAGGTCTTTTCCAACCCAAATGATTCAAAATATTCGGTGACAGAAAGCCATCAACATATGGAAAACTGTGGTTGGTATGTTCTGAAGCAGCGGAAGCAGGCACAGCAGGTAGTCCACACCAAGTTTGGGCTCTAGTGCCCTCGATTTGTGGTATTAAGCATGTCATCCCACCTCTGCACCTTACTTCCCCATGAGCAAAATGGAGACAGTAAATCATTAAGAACAAGTCTCAGCTGAGAACTGTTGTTTCCTCTATTTGCTTTATGCATGGCAGTGACTTTGCAATGGGAGGAACAGCAAGCATTCTTCAAGATATTTGACATCAAACGACAAACTTCCAATCTGCCTTCTGTAGAAATTACTGTCTTGAATTTTCAGCTTCCCAGATTGTTTTTCAAGCGTATTTCTAGCCTTCTGAAGTTGTCAAAGGATGCAGATAAATAGTCTTTTCTCCTTTAACACTGTTATTCTCGCATTAAACAGAAGACTGTTCACGAGTTTTGTTATTTGGAAGGCAGGTGAACAGATGTGGTGGCTGGAAATGTGACCAGAAACACTGACTGAGGGCTAGTGCTGGCAAAACTACTGAACAGTTTAATTTCTCTCCAATGAATTTCCCTTAGAGTTTTCTTAGGAGAAATCCTCTTACACAATTTGTTGGCTCAGAAGTGCTCTCATGCAAGAGACAGCATGGCCCCAGTTGCCTTCTGGACCTGTTGTTCAAAACCGTTTACTACTAGCAACACAATGAAGCTCCTAATATTTATTTCCCTAGAAAACAAACCACTGACTACCCCTATGTACTTAGTTGCATTGCAATGATACTTGTAGTCGCTTCTTTTACACTTCAGCATTCTGTTAAACTTGACAATCAATCAATTTAAAGTGCAAACAGCAATCATCCTATGACATATATGGATCTGTAGGAAGCTTGAAGCCTTTCTAATTTTAGCTTGTTTCAGTATACTAGAAGTTTCTAGTATCAATCATCCAAGGGAAACACTTTACGTACCAAAGTGTCACAAAAAGCAGAGTGCTGTTTTGTGTTTAACTAGTGCACACCGGAATGATTTTGCATCCACAGTTTCCCAAAACACCGTGTACTGGGTGCGCCCTGTTAACTGACCGCTCTTGCTTTCTCCCAGTCAAATACAAACGATGTAAAAGCGCAGACAGTACGTTTTCAAATGCATTTAAATCAATAGCTCACACATTTGTGCTACTGATTTTCCTCCAGCTGTAGTTAGAAAAGACTTAATTCTTTGCCTAGTCGCACTAAATTACTGCAAAAATTACTAAGCTTATGTAAGCAGAATTAGCGTTATGGCTAAAATCACTGAGCAGCAGTCAGCTTTCCGTTTATCTTTTGCATACTCACAACCTCCTTTTCGTCTGGCGGAAAAGATGATCAGCACAGGCTAAAGAGCATTTTCCCAAGGAAGACACCAAAGAGCTGTGTTGTGAGTACGACCGTCCACTGTCCCGTTGCTTTTTCACTACGCACTGAGCATAACCTCAGTCACCAGCTGAAGGCCCGGGGAGTGCGTCACTCCTGTACGGGAGGCTTAGCATTCCTCACATTCCCTGACGGCCTTTCCAGATTATACCCTCTCGAGAACATGGTTGCCATATTTCTGCCTTAACGAGTAAAACCTCAGCATGCAAGGTGGTCAAGCCCAAAGCCTGTGGCCCCACCTGATGTACCAAGTACGCTCAGGCTCTTCGTTCTGCACATCAGTGGGGGAAAAGTGGAGCCTGTGGTTCATCAGCCGTGCAAAGCTCAGGCAGCCCAGGGACACTCCAAGACACCCATGAGCACGCCGGCTGTTGCACAACACGCGCTCACTGCATTGGATTTACTGCATTTCCAGAGTGATTAACGGTTCTGTTTTCATTTTGTCTACCACACTCCCAAAAGTCCAGCCTTTTGCTCAAAGCTGCCGCAGCAATGACTGGCACCCCAACTCGGCTGCTGGTGAGATGGGGAACGCTTTCCCCAGGAAGAGTGATCACCTGCAGGAACACAAGAAATGGTCAAATCAGTGGTTCAACCTAACCTGGTGCTCAGTCTTTGAAAGTGGAAATGGGCAGTGCTATTTAAGGTCAGAAAGACTGCTGTATTCAATGTCTTCTGCCCCCAGCCCCAGCCCCCACGATTCATTGGATTAGGGATATTGGTGGACACTTCACAGGCTGTAGTATCCACTTACAAGCCTCTTCTTCCTCACATTGCCCAACGCCACCTTGGACCTGTTGTCATTGTCAGTCTCCATAACATCCTGTGACAACAAACTCCAGAAGCTCCTGACACACCACATATTCTCTCTTACCTCCTTTAAGCCAATCGCCTAATCTTGTTGTGCCTACTAACTGTGTATACTAATTTTCATCATAGTATTGCAGGATTTTTTGACTAACAGTTCTGCATTCATCTTATCCACTACCTTTTTGATTTCTGTAAGTGCCTTGGCTTCCTCTCCAAATTGAAGTCTTTTCAGTCCCCTCATGGAGCACCTGTTTCATCCTCTCTAATTGTTGTTGTCCCTGTACCTCTTCTTACATCACTACGTCTTCCCTGAGATGCAGAGTCCAAACTCCACAAAGTGCTCAAGACGTTAACTCAGCAAGGCTTTATATGGCAGCAAAGTCACGCTGTCCTCCTGACGGTGCCCAGCTTTTTCCTGGGCCTTGGCCTCTGCTGCATGTTGCGCTGATGATTTTGGTGAGCTGTAAGTGAGGGCTCCAAGGCCCTTCCCTCAGCTGGACCTGTCAGCTCTGAGCTCAGCACCGCCTACGAGTGTAAGAACAGCACACGGAGCACTGCTTCCCCATCCATCCCCTCCCAACAGCTGCAACGTTAGACGTATCCTGAACAAAAAAACGTGCCCACTCGGGACATTCAGGAAACCTCCACAGATTTTTTGTCCACTTTATTTGTTCAGTCATTGTTCAAGCACTCACAGAATAGAAGATCTCAGCTTGAAAAGCCAGCTTCTTCCTGAACATAAGTTTGTGGTTCCTTTGGAGATTGTTTCGTCTATGAAGCTATGGGCTACTTTGGCAATAAGCATTTCTCATCCCGTCCCTCTCTTTAGAAGCAGTTTTTATAAATCGCTTAAAAAGTAATTGGACGAGGGACTGAAATCCAAGCTCCTTCCTCCACAGTGAACTTCTAATCAACAGTTATGGTGTGAATGTGGATCAATTTTCTCTGCCTCCCTGGCCCAGCGAATATAGATGTACCCATGAAGACTGACAAGGCTTCAGTAGAAGGGACTGGGACATCCCTTTCCTTCAATGAAGACCGTGTATCCTCATGGTTGGGGTCTTATACACAACACCAGAAACATCAGCAAGAATGCAAAGTAAGGTGAAGGGCTTTGCATAACCTACAACAGTAACGAGGGAGAAAACTTAACTTTACAGATCTTAGCGCAGCCTGCTAGGGTTAAATTAATGCTTTTGCAGACAAAGAACAGATAGGACAGAAAATGCCTTTATTTAAACTGCTGTACAATGGAAATCTCTATCATTTTCAAAAGCCAGCTGCGGGAGAAGTGACTCACATAGCTTGTATACAGGAAGCCTCTTTGCAGGTTTCAGTGCTGAATTTCTTTTTCTCTGAATACGTCACTTGTGTGAGTGCAGTTATCTGCTGAGTGGCAGCAAGGTGTTTGGCAGTATATAAACACGGAGAAAGACATGGTTCCAGCCCTGAAGAGCTTACAATCTAAAATGTGACATGGACAACACTATTCCAACATGTAACAATCAACTGAAATATCATCAGTCAGATTTAAGAAGACCCATTTTAACAAGCACTCGGAATACCAAATATATATATAAAGGCCACAGGTAGGACAGAGTGGTGTCTTTGTTCTGTTATGTATTAATATGTTCATAAGGCTACACACATGAAAGGCAGCGATGGTTTGCTTGAGACTCATTTTATTTTCTGTGATGGGGCTGCTCCAGCTTGTGCATCCTGAACAAAAATAAGGAAAACTAGATTAGAACTTAGCACTCCTCCTCCTGTGACTTTACATGCTTGAGCACTGGACAACATCGGGGTGAATCAATTGCTGAGCAACAGAGGATCACAGATCTGGGGGAGGTAGTGTGAAAGTGACAGATTTTCTGTCCCTTTGAGGCACTGGGTCTCCACATCAGCGTACGGTTGGTGATGCGTACGGCAGCTACCTCGGAGGCAGACTTACACGGGAATCCCTCTAGCTCTAGGAAGAGCATATCACACACTGTGTCTGCAGTCGAGAGGGAGTCCTGCCAGCCGAGGGAAAAATCTGCTGGAAATTCCAACTTTCTTGTAGGTTAACAGTTGTTCCCTAGTAAGTGATTGATCTTTATTTCTGTGCAGAGGAGAAGAGACAGTAGGAGGAAGAAGAAAACGTGAAAATTAAATTTGAAACCACGTGCTGACAAAACTTGAGCAATGCTGGATGCTCCTACACCTGTACAGGCGCAAACTCTGCCTCCAAAATGCCTCCTGTTTTGAGGATTTAAAGTCGCACTTGGTGTAGTTTCTAAGCCAGTCAGAGTAATTTTATAAGGTACTGTATTTCTGGTCAGGCTCCTCTCCCTTCCCCAGTGTGGTTGGGTTTTTTTTAACTTTTCAATTCAATTTGAGAGAGGGCTTCATTTGAGACGTGAAGCCCCTAAAAGTTTCCACGAAATCAGTAGCTGAGTAAGAGAGGAAAGACAGGAATCCTTATCCCAGATGAAAGAGAAGCTGCAATGAGTCTAACAGTTCAGCGTACTTCTGGCCCACCAGCTGGGCACTGCATGCATATCCGCTGACCACTCGAGCAGCACACACCCAGCACGCTGCTCTTCGCACTGCTCATCCTTCGGGGACACAGCAGAGGGCTAGGGGGCACCCTAGGAAGGTGCTAAGGAATGTGCCCAAAGCAGGTGTCAGAAGCGTGGCGGGGACATGAAGGCTGTAAGAGCGATGGGGAACGGATCGAAGGGCCTGCAGCATTTGGTGGATATCAGGGAATCACAGAGAAAGCTGTGTAGGAAAGTCAGATTCTTTGGTGCCACAGAGACGGGGAAAACTAACAGGCTCATCAAGGGCAGTAGTTCTGACTCACTGTCATGTGTCAAATGCATAATACCTTTTCTGGTTTCACAGAATCACAGAATGTCGGGGGTTGGAAGGGACCTCGAAAGATCATCTAGTCCAACCCCCCTGTCAGAGCAGGACTACCTAGAGTAGGTCACATATGTTTTGGGACATTCTTTCCATTCTTGTCATTGCATATAACAACAATATGTACAAAATTTTCAAGTTTATGCTCCTTTAAGAACATTTAGAAACTGTGCTGGACATCTTAATAGTTACCTGAAAACCTGTTCAAGAAAGAATGTGTCATGGGGAAATGTACTAAGACTCTTCTTGCTCCTCCACCTCTTCCTTTTCTTCTCCCTCTTCCTGCTTTTCTTCTTCTTCCTTTTTTATAGAAAACAGTTTTAGTTATCATGTAGAAATTGAAGGAAAAATAAACAGATTTGAAATGCAGAGCTCTGCTTTTGCAAATGTTCTGTTTCTAGTAAATGCAATATTATTTGAGCTTAAAAAATAGAACAGAGAAGTAATGTATAGAACATTTAATCTTAACGTGCCACAGCTCTAGCTTTGTGGAGTTAATAGGCAAGTGCTGGAATATAAGAACACTTTTCTTAGAGAGGTTACAACGCAGTACACGGTTAAGCTGTAAATCGATGTTCAAGATCAAAATGAGAACATGAAATATATGTAAATAGGACAAAAAGTTTAGTATTTTTAATTGTATGCTTTCTCAGAGCAAGACACAAGCCAAGATTCACGGCAAAGGAACTAGACTCCTGAATAATCTAAAAATCATTTGGAGTCAGATAATACAGCCTTGTTTCTGTTTCAAAAGTTCTTATTTCTCTCTCTTATATAAGAGAAATGTGCAATTTAAAGGCGATAGCCCTGTGCTTCAATCAACCAAATAAACAGGTGTCTGAAAGCTAGCATTTATGTAACACAGACAACAACTTGTGCTTATTGTCTTTTAAGAGCTAGTAAATGAAGATTTAAAGCATAGTCCTACTCTGAAAAACAACTGAAAATTGCACTGTGGGCTTCTCTGCTCCTTCTCTTCCAGCAAACTCATGTTCAAAGGCACTCCTTCTGTGTGTATAAACAAGCTTTACCTCAAAATGTCATACCTTCATATACTACCTAGACTACATGTATTATGGGAATTTCTTCCTGGCATAATCAACCAACCAAATAATACAGAATTAGTTTTCAGTCCGGACTGCAGGTAGTGTGTGAGCAGCACAGGCCTTAGGTTTTCCTCTCAAACACACACTGTCTGTACAAGAGTCACATCTGAGTTGCCAAAGTAAAATCCTGTTTAAAGATGTGCTTGGGAATGGACCTGTTGTTATCAGATTCCTGGTTTGAATCGTTGTTCTTCAGGGAAAACGATTGCACTAAGGGATCGTCCGTGCAAAACCAGAAACATAATATGAACGCCCACACCGCTCAGCGGCCTTAGAAGTTCTTGTGCTGAAGGAATACTGCCTCTTTCGGCATCTTCCCCCAGGAAAGGTGCCTTTCATCAGCACTCTCTGAAACAGGGCCAGGCAAGCCCACAGACAGGGAACGTCTTTCAGATACTAGCAACTTCAAAATTCAAGTCAATTACCTTTTACAGGGAAAAAAAAATGGGTATTTTTCTTGCTTGAAGCATTAGTTAGTGGTGCCAGGGTGCACCAACCAGCCTTAATGGCCCTCGCCAGCCTCACCAGGAGCCCCCACGCTCTGCCCATGGGCCCAGGAGCTCCATTTCAGCTGCCAGGTCCACGATGCATAGCTCTGGCAGCGGGCATGTGTACATGTATAGATGTATATATGCATGTATTGCAGTTTGGAAGTGGGAAGATGTGAATATGTCCTCTTATTAATTTCAGGTTTGCAGTGGAAAATAGCCTAAAGTGATCATTAGTGCTACTGGGAACACCAAAGAAATATTCAAGGCATAAACTTGCAATGCTGGGCAAAGCAGAAAAGTGTATAAGGATCTGCACCTGGATCTTACAAATTCTGGCAAGGAAAACATTTCCTTTATAGGCAGAACTGCCTAAATTGTCAGAATGACTCTTTCACACTTACAACACTGAAAATGTAATCAGCATGGTGTCGGTTAGTGATTGTCAAAGACACAGTTGCCTTGGGAGTCCTTGGCAAATCCGTTAAAGAGTCTGTAAAAGATAATTTCTCTTCCATTTACAGCTTTTAATGATTAAAGGCCTGTCTTTGTTCCCAAACAAGACTATGATATGACCAATTATCTCTAGCAGTATATTCAGTCTCATGAATAAGAATTTACTAAATTTTGAGTGAAGCAATGAGACTGAAAAGGAATCAAATGCACACAAACAAAAGGTGAATGCAAAACAGCCAAATATACTATACCCCTGTGGCTGCATGTTCTTCCTTGTTTTCCTAGATAAGAAATACAAAAGAAAATGTTTAAAAGATAGGTCAAAGAAAGAATATCAGAGGTCATACAGGCAAAACACAGAATAAATTAAACACTGAATTTAGGAAAATTATGTGGAATTCAGTGGATTTATTTTGAGATAACGTCCTCCAGACTAACTTACAAAGTACACCTAAGCTAATCTCTTACTTTAAAAAAGGGCTAGAAAATAATTAAATACAGCTCCCTTTTTCTCAGTTACTTCATTCAAATCTGCTTCATTGATTAGCAAAGCATTAGAGCTGGGGTTTTGTTTGCTTTTTAAGGTGGTGTTTGTTTGTTTGGGTTTGGTAATTAGCTGGTCTGCAAAATGAAAGTTAGATCAGAATTATACAGACTCTTATCTATGCTATATAGCATCACTCAGAATCTGGCTTGCAATTCTCTTAACTGTTGTAGGCTGGAACAGATGCCTTGGCTCAGCAGTACTGGGGAATAAGAAATAATACGAGCTCATTTTAGACTGTAGATTGAGCAAAAGTGATGAAGAGAGATAAAAGAGAAAAAATATAAATGTACAGTGAATAGACTTTAATCTTAGATACCAAGCTGGTTATTGGAGAGAAGAGCTAATCTTACACAAAATCCCAAAGAGAAAGGGCAAATGGAATAGTACCATGCAGAAGGCATGAGCAGTTGATATGAGTTTGCATAGAATGAGTTGAGATAAGGAAGTGAGTGCCAGGGTTTATATATGGCCTGGGGAATTGCTGAGACAGGATACAGATTTGCATTATAATATGATTTTTGAACATGTTTCTAAAATAATTCTGCCCTGAAGTGAGCCTAATCTGTACTGCAAACTGATTTAACTGGGCCATCACTTAAAAAATATTCTAACCTCCAAGCTAAAATCTAAAGTTAAAATCAGATAGTAAAAATAAAGAAAAATTATTACCATCACATCTAGTGACCAGCAGAGTCCTTGCTGTGCCACGTGCATAGGAAGTCACAGTCTTTTCCTCAAAAACTCAAAACCAAAGGGACAGACAAAGTAAGAAAAAAGGGACACTGTATCCAAACAAAATGGTTCCTCAACCTTCTCCACCAGAGGATGGAGATCCCGAATGAAAAAAGATTAGGAAGAAGTCAAGGACAGGCTTGATGAAGTGATTAGGGAAAGCAAGTATGCAACAGGTTTAAGGTAAAAAAAAATTCATAATGTAAAGAAATCCTAGTGCAGCTGTCCCTTGGTGACCCAGGCCAAAAACTGTTCCTGTTGCTTACTAATGGATCTGTGTAAGGGACTTTTTATTTTGACATCTGCTCTGGGCTTTCCTGGATGCTTGTGTGAACGAGGGGTTAGAGCTGCTAAAGCCTAGGCAGTCTAATGTGAGGTGTGTGATGAACAACCTGTCACACTGTGCACTTATCCCTGTCACTTGCAGAAGGCAGCTGCTGGCTTTAGATTTTTGTTTTTCAGAGGGTTGGGGTCTCTCGCTGGTTTCCTCAGGGTCATACCAGCCAGAGACATAAAGCTGGAGCTTCTGGACTTCTGCATCTCCCAGCAAGGGCACCTGAAGCAGTAGAGGAGGGCTGCAGCCTCCACACCTACCCACGTTCACCAACGGCTGCCCTTCCTGCTACTGAGGCATTGGAGGAGCCTTCTGAAATCTGCGACCCTCCATGAAGCTCCACAGTTGAGACAGTCACAGTTTATTTTGTCATCTGTCTCACGCTCATTGGCAGAGACTGAGAGATCTTCACCTTGCCAAGCCTCTTCTAGAAATTATCCATAGCACTGGCATTCCTCCTGCAAAGTCACTGGAGAAAAGCTGGCTGGGTTACACCCTCCGTCAGAGTCGGTTTTAAGCTAGTTTGAAAGTGAGTGCCAAGTAAGGCCAAAATGCCAATATTAGATTCCCACTGGTATAATAATTCAGAAGCAGAACATAAAACTGTGATGTTTAAATTATGGCATTTTGATTTGAGGGTTTGTCAAAAGAGTAAGTTGACACTCCAAAAGGGAACCGACTACTCTTCAAAAGATGTAGCTGTCTGGCTGCAAAACATGGTGGGCTGCTGATAAAAAGGTCACCCTTTCAGAACTCAGTATACAGAGACCAGCTCTTAATAAGCTAGAAGAAAAAAAGACATAGGTGGGGAGAGGACACGGTAAACATCTTCTCAGTGTGGTCAAGCAGTCAAACAAGATGTGCTGGGCTGCAGAATGAGAGGAAGAGAGGGAAATACTGAAAATAACGTGTTGACACTACATGTATCGTTTAGGACCTAACATCCAGTGGAGATACTCCAATGGCAATCTGACAGTCTTTGAACATATTTAACTCCATGAAACCCTGGCCAGGTAAGGAAATATTATTCTATATTTCTTTTATAAGGGTAAAATGAGCTACAGAGTGAAAAGTTGGAATTTATTTCACTGTAGCTGCCTCAAAGTTATTCTTCTCATCTAAATTCATCCTCTGTGTGCTGTCTGTAGCAAATGAGAATAACACCATTTCTACAGAATGATTCATGCCATCCCAACAGAAGTGATAACTGGGATGAACCGTGGCAAGGCGGACAGACACCACCTCACTGAAGTGATTTGTCCCAGGTGACATGGGAAGTGGGTGGTGGAACAGGGTGAAAAATGGGTTTCGTGCATCCCTGGCAGGAGCCCCTGGTACCTTGCTGCCTGCAGTGGTGAGCACCCTCTCTAAAAATGAGTGAGACAGGAACAGAAAGAGTGCTTTTTTTCTTCCTCAAGGAGCTAATATACACCTAGCATGATGAAGGTGGGTATCAGAGTTGGATGATTTCAGGAAGACTTTTCCTCGTCCTTATGTAAGACCATGTAAAAACATTTCAACACTGCCAAGACTGTGCAGGTAAAAGGGGAGGATTTGTAAGACTAACTGTATTTTATGCCCTCATAACCACAGAAAGATCTGTTCAAACACACTGTCTTGCCTGGTGCTCTCTCCTCTGCCGCTCCCCTCCCTGTAAAACTGAAGGAGAATATATTTTCCACTTACAGCTCCAATCCATTCTGTGAGAAATGGAGCAAGGTGCTTGTCGTAAAGGAGTGGTATTGCATTATGTCATTACCAAACCTCTCATACACAGCTGCTTGACACATTTGCAGACATGTTCCAGCATTCTGTTCTCATTTGAAAAACATTAGAGTAGACTGCCAGCCAGAACGGCAAGTAACCTAATCCAGCCAGGGGATGCACTGCAGTTTTATGCTGGGCTTAAGAGACGAGGAAAAAGGTATTTGATGGCACTCACGTGCCGGCTGAAATTCCTAGAGACATGAAAAGTGCTTGGATATCATTTAAGGAGAAATTGCATTTCCCACGGAGGACTGCCTCTCCTCATTGCCATTTTGAAATTTTAAATGGGACCTCCCAGTGCCTGAGACTTGCTTGAGGTTGTGTAAAAGGGTGCTTTTCCAGCCTAACAATGACTGTTTCAGTCATTGTTAGAAAGGATAATGGGGAAAGGCTTACAGAGAGTTGTTTCCTCTCGAAAAACGTGGCAGCTAGAAGAAAAAAAAAAAAATCCAAAACACATTTGGTTTGGTCTTTAGTGAAAGAGATGATGCACTTGTGACTGATATTCCACTGGGACCATCTGATCTCCAAACCAAAAAAAAAAAAAGAACCTGACAAGTGTAAGCACTTGATCCAGCAGTAGGCCTGCCTCTTTGGGAAGAGAGTCACCTGACACTGCAACATCAAAATAAACCCATCCTGAAATGCCAAACTGTCAGAGCAGCAGGAGGAATAAAGCAGCTGGACCCCTATCTCCAGACACAGATCCATTTCTGCTTAGTCTCTACTGAGTCTAGAACCTGGCCAGTAACATAAACACTCCACTGACGGCACACAACAGAATGGTCTCTTTTTGGGGGGATCCATCTACATTTCAGCCACAAGTACTTCACTGATGTTAGCTAACTGCAGGATATTATACTAGGGAACTGAAGGAACTCAGGTGGCTTCTTGCAAGTACCGTTAGCACTGCCGTTTCAGACCTGCCCATGTGACTGTGATATCAGACCATGCTGCAGGCAGAAGGGATAGCAACGGCCTCCATTCCGTGGGTTTCTGCATGGCCTGGAGAAGACACAGTCAGATCTGACTTGCTGCAACAGTGGTCAAAGCTGGCACATGACAACAAACATTAACAACTAGCTTTACGAGCATTGCAGATGCTGGCCTTTGATAGCAGCAAATTTTCCCACACAGATAGGACTCAGATGTCTAGTCCTAAATTATTCTCCATAACAAGTGTCTGGTTCCAAAAGAGCATTAAAAAAAGTCTTACGGTTACAAATGGCAAAAGAAAACTGTTAAATACAGTCAACTGCTGTTATTCAAGATTCAGGGCAAAGTTCCTTGGAGTTTTATCTAGGCTTCATATCACCATGATGTCAAAGAAAATGCATCTGAAAGACAAGCAGGACCACTCTGCAATCACTCTTCCCAGCCTGAGGCTCATTAGGAGAGCCTGTGGGTTTATGTTTCATGTGCTCAGCACAGGTAAAACCCTCATATCACAAAGGGAAAAAGGGAGAATCACCTGTTGATCTTCTGATGGTGACTGAGCAGACTGAGTCTCTTCATGAGCCCCTTCATCTGCCTTATCTTCCGTGGGTGCCTCAGTTTCGTTCGTGGCATCAGTCTTCTCGCTCTCCTGTCAGCAAAGAAGTCATTGTTAGCTTCAGGGCACATAACCAGCAATTAACTTCTATAAAACTCTGATTTTACAGTTTTGGGAGGTGCTTTTCGAATTTTGCTTCAGCGCGCAAATGAAAATATACCCATTTGGACATTTTCCTGTGAAAGGAACACTTGTTGGCATGTTGATCTGTTGGTCAAGGCACAGGGTTTGTGTAGTGAAAACATGAGTTCAAGCACTTCACTTCAGAGCATAGTAGATTCTCTAACATTTCCGTGGAAAGTTTAATAGAAACCAATGCTCACCCAGATGGCACATTCTAGCTTCAGGGAAAAAACAAGCCTTTTTCACCAGCATGCATTCTGATCAAACTTCATCAAAAAGCTACAGAAAAACAGAAGTAATAAAGGATTCCACAGATAATCTCTAAACTTTGTTTAAAATCATCAGGAAACTGTTCCTCAAGTCACACACCAATCTATCAAATCTATTTATTCCAGAACCATGAGCAAGCACCTCCTAGAAGGCTCTTTATTTTAAGTCCTGTTGTACTTCCAGCTAGGCAGCCGTGAAAGGTCACACTGGATCACACACTGTGTCAGATAAAAGGAGACCTGCATGGCCTCGAGTGGAACAACAGCAATGGGATGAAATGTAATAGCATGAAGTGCAAAGTCACATTATTTGGGACAGGTAGTTTGGGGACAGAGATTATAAACAAGATGTTTCTACAGCACTTTGGGAGCTTGTTAGTTTATGATCATCAAAGAAGAAAAAGATGGATATATTTAAATAATCACAGAATAACTGAGCCATGAATATGATGCGACAGTGAAAGAGGTAATAAATGTGGTCCTCAGATGTATGAGGTGAGGTATAGCTGGTGGAGCTGAAAGCAAATATTAATGTCATTGTATAAGGCCAAGACGAAACCTCCTCTGGATCACTCTGTACGGTTCCAGTCACCCAGGCTCAAGAAAAAGAAATTCAGACTGGAACAGGTGCAGAAGGGGGCTACAGGAATATTTGAGGGAGCGGAGAGCCTGCCTTATGAAAGGGTGACAAAAAAAGCTTCATTACTTTAATCTACTGAAAGTAATGCCGTGAGGGGATATGATGGCTCTCTAAAAATAGATCAGAGTAAACATCAGGGAGGGGTAGGATAAGGAAGAGCGCTGAGGTAGATGCAAAATGAGTAGAAACTGGCTGTAAATGAAAATTCTGGTCATCAGCAGTGTGACATTTTGGAAGCGCTTTCTAGAAGAGAAGTGGAGGCAACAGACCTAATTCATAAAAGGGAATTTGACCACTTCTGAGAGGTGTTATCTGGTGTGGTTGCCTCCAGCCACAGAGAACTGGGCTCAGGGGAGGTCCTGTCCTGTGTCATCCTAAGTCCTACACACTTTGGGCAGAGCAGCATGTCCCTGAGAGAAAACAAGCTCCTTTATCATCCCTGTGACCAAGCCCTTACAACTCACCCACCTGGTTGGTTTGGGTTTTTCTGCTTTTCCATAATTTCGTTTGTCTCTACAGTTAAATAAAAGCCTCCAGTCACGTTCCCCTATTGTTTAAGCTTCACGAGTCCTCCTCCACCATCCTTATCCTACATGACTTTTTCAGCCAGTGTACTTAGCCTGCAGAGGCATGACACTAGCGTAGCTATCTGGCTTTTAGCCCCAGAGCAGACCTGAGCGAGTGCTGACTCAGGGCCCATGACGTGGTGTGCAATATAAGCCACGCCCTCCTGCTGAGATGTTCTGCTGGATGGGGACAAAAACCATAGAAAGGAGGTTAAGAATGTCTGCAGGCCGATATCACGACAGAGTGAAGATGGACAAAATACTTCTGCAGTTTTATCTTTTTCCTGAAACTTCTGACTATGAATTCAATTTTCTCCTGAATCACAGAAAATGTGTTTTATGTGTAAGGACTTTGCAATGAAAAGAGGGTAGGCACATAGGCTCAGAGGTCCCCCTTCCTCTCCGCAGTGGAAAACAGCAGCAAAAACCCCTACCAGCAACAAGCATCGCCCTCCCCGCAGCCCTTCCCAGCACTGCACTGCCCCTGCCCTCCTGGCAGCAAAAGCCTTTCCAGGGCTGCACGGTGGACCAGAGCAGGAGGCTGATCAAGATTAAAGCTTTAAAAAGACAAACATTTCTGTATCTCACACAATTTGCACACTCCTTTACACAGCTGCATGGATGTTTTTGCCAGCACGTGGGGGATGCTGTGGGAGAGGAATGAGCAGCTGGGAGCAAGCAGAAGGTGCCAGAGGAAAGAGAAAAGACTACTTTTTCTGGCAATGTTGTCTGATTTCAAGTACACATAAAACTGTGGGCTCACTGCACCCTGATGCTAGCGGCATTGTTATTAAAAACAGACCTATAGAGACATTTGTTTGGCTTAATTTATCTTTTACTTTTCCCTCCACAAGTTAACAAAACATTTGAAGATTAAAATATGCAGTAACACAGACATATATTGAAATTCTCTTTACAACATTGTGTTATTACGTTGTTTTCTTAAGTAAATGATAACTTCCTTACAGATACTTTCTTTGTAGCAGTTCCTAAAATGAAACGGATAGTGTTAATGAAAACTAAATTGGTTAGATATTTCCAGCATGCATGTTAACATTTCATTTTAAAATCTACGTCCTCAATATTTTTGGCAGATACATAAAATACATAAAGACTGAAGATGGCATTCTAATTAAAATGAACCTATTGTGAAAAACTATCTCAGATGAATCATATACTTACTCAGAGCATAAGGCCAAAAACAGTTGTAGCTGAAAGAACTAAACTAGAGAAGCAGTGTGCAATCAGCCAGAATACACGCACAAACACAGAGTTCTTGCTAATTATGTGGAGAACTGCAATGTTTGGAATATCATCATTATACTAGCTCTCCATAGAAACACAAACATCAATTTTAAACTAATTTAAAATGGAGTACCATTTATAAAGATTGGCTGACAGGTCATCTTCTCTTTAAATAAAACGCACATACTGTAAATTTGTAATTCAAAGCAGTCTTAGTAGAAGTCTTCTCCAATTAAAAGACTAAGGCTCAAGTGTCTATGGATTTGGGGATATCAAGATTATGGATATTAAGACTGAAAATACTAAGATTAAGGATTTAAGTATAGACAAGATTTGAAAACAGACCCTCAGTTCAAGTAAATCAGCTTCACTGAGTTCACAGAGAAATTGCAAACCTAAATAATCTTGCTATGAGCTACTGGCTCTCTGGACTTCTGGGAAACAGAAACAATATTCCAGGGCATTTAACAAAGTTCTCACAAAAAATTATTGTTCTGGAAAACAAAAAGCAATTAATTACTTCCATTCAAACCTTTCTCAGACACTCAGAAGGTGTAGCAATACAGCATACTGTTTGTCATCTTATTTTAAGTCATAGGCATCTCATTGACAAAATAATTCACCTGTGCCATTTTAGAGAACAAGCAGTGCAGCTGGAGCTTTTAA